TGTCAAAGGTCAAATATAAAAATTAGCAAAAATTCTTCAGACAAAACAGTTAGAGATTAAATTACATTTTATATTACTATATTTATCTATTTAGATTTTTTTTGAATGCATATTTTTTCTGGCCATCATTAAATCCTGATCTTAGCTTAAGACCTATACATCTATTTAATAGCATATTATCATATTTAATAAATAAACACTGTAAGCCTATGGAAATATATTCAGAGGTAATACATTACCTAATTTTTCATTATTCATTCATATCCATGGCAGCAATACCATGTCTTTTATATAAAAACAAACTTTAGCTTGCTTCATAGTTTGAAGCCAATCAGTTTCATTGGAGAGCAAAGCAGATTGTGCCATTGCATAGTACTATTTTACCAGATGGTATTTCTATAGGTGCTAGCTTTGGATGCCAGCAATCATCTGATGGAAAGGTACTCTCAGCTTCTTTGGGACAAGCTATTTCATTATGCTATAACACTGAATTCTCTGATTGAAATATGTTATAGCATATAATAAAATAAAATTGATAAAAATAATGGTGGTTTGAATGAATGAAATCATAATTATTAGATACTTAAATGCTATAACTACATCGTGCACACATAATGGTAATACAAGTTTCATTTATTATACATGTTATTAAAAATTCAGAACGAATTGAGAGACATTTGCTCAATCCAGAGGGGGATATTGTGAAATAAATATATGTGGAAAAAATTATGAATTACTGAGACTTAAATATGACATCAAAATTGAACACAATGAAAAATAAATCCATTGTTATGCCAATCATGACTGAAGGCCTCAGAGTGATAATTAAGGGACTTGCTCGATATCTGGAAATACTGAATTTACTAGACCTGAACACATTATTAAAGAAAAAAAAGCCAATGCCTTTGACATAGCCAATCTTTTCTGGAGAGCTATCCAAATCTCCCTATCAGTTTGGAGGGATACATTCCTCTTACTAAGATAAACTCAATTGGAGGCAAGTCATTATGCATTTATTTTAATGGAGATTATTAGAGATAACATTATTAGAAGATACATTTGGAGAAAAAATAATCAAACAGCTTTAAAGGTAATAGAATATAAAAAGAAATAAATTCAACAAAATTTTGTGTTTCCAGGTATAGAGAAAGAATATCAATGAGACGAATACAAGTAGCCCTCGACTTACAACTATTTGTTTAGTAACCGTTTGAAGTTCCAACAGCACTGAAAAAAGTGATGTCGCCATTTTTCACATGACTTTTGCAGCATCCCTATGGTCATGGGATCAAAATTTGGATGCTTGGCAACTGGCATCTATTTATGACAGTTGCAGTGTCATGGAGTCATGTGATCACCTTTTGAGATCTTCTGACAAGCAAAATCAATGGGAAAGCCAGATAGCAGCAATAGCACTTAGACTTATATACCGTTTCATAGTGCTTTTACAGCCCTCTCTAAGCGGTTTACTGAGTCAGCATATTGCCCCCAACAATCTGGGCCCTCATTTTACCCACCTCAGTAGGATGGAAGGCTGAGTCAACCTTGAGCCAGTGAGATTTGAACTGCTGAACTGCAGCTAGCAGTAAGCTGAAGTAGCTGGCAGTACTGCACTCTAACCACTGCGCCACCTCGGCTCTTAATCCACTTAAGATCCACTTATTGGATTAAGTTAACATGGCATCTAACTTAATACTGTCATCAACAATCCATGTTTAGGAGTGGAAGTGAGAATGGTTTGAAAGCTAAGGAGAGGAATAATGAATGTGTTAACATAAACTATGTCTTGAATTTTGGCCTTTAATTCATTCAGCTTAGCATTTTTACTTCCATTTCTGCACTTAATGGTGCAGAAGCACATAATGGTGCTTACTCTCAATGCATGATAATGTTGGATATATATAAAGAATAAAAGAAAAAATGTATGTTAGGTTTTGGTTTTTTTACTCAGACATGTCAAATTATATTTTTCTTTGTATACTGTATAAGCAATAGAGAAATCCATGTCAAGGTTGCTGCTATATTTTCATGTGCCATTCTTTTCCAAAGAATCATTATAAGTAACTGGTCTGAAATCATCTGAAATAACTATAGTATATTGTATTTACCTGCTGCACATGCTGCTAGAAACTTTTCACTCTTGCAAGGCCTTTTTGCTATAAGATGAGTACAATTTTTATATTGCTAAAGAAAAAAAAAGAATTGTTATTAAAATGTGTGTGTGTTATTTAAGGATTAGCAGGCATCTTTATTATGGATCAGCATATTACATTAACAAGTAACTCTTAGTGGGATGCACACAGTAGTATGTTGGCTGCACAGAATATTCTAGTTTGCATAAAATAGTATGGGCATGTTTGGAGTAAAACTGAGCTTTGGTTGTACTTGTGGCAATGTGATCAAAATGTGCCAAAATTACTATTGTGTCCTTACTGGTAATAAGAAATATTACCAGAGGTACAAGCATGACTAAAACTGGTCATTTAGGTTCCACCTTATCTTACTGAAAAACAATATGTGAAAACTTATAATGATCAAAGCCACGATAAAAGTCATAGGTTAATATCTATGCGTCCATTTAGTACTGTGCTTCCTTTTCTTATCTCGTGCCTTAATTTCTTACTTTTTCTTTATTCTGTAAATGATATGTATCCTGAAAGAAAATAACATATGTATATATGTATCCATTTATACTAAGACAAGAAACTGAGTTCAATTTCCAATCAGAAACTCTTTCCAATAAAACTGCTGCAGGCCTATAATTACCTTATGTATTTATCAAGTACTATCACTTACCTCACTGTTAAAGAAAAAACAGTCTAATTTCAGAAGCAACTGGATTAGAATCTTCTTTTCTTCATTCTTAAATCCAGTTAACTGAATCTTTGGTTTTCCTTCCATCTATTTAAAATAGTTATATGAAACAAAAAAGTATGACTGAAACTTCCATTATATTGAGATCAATGAGTTTCTGTTCAAATTTTAGTAACATTATATATAGATAAAAAAAGTCAGCACTAAGGACATTGCTTCATTTCTTCTAACCAGACAACATATAGTCAGTTTTGACTAATAGACTGCAGGTATGGAAATGCAGCAATTTTCATTTTATGAATGGCCAGAAGATTAATGGCCATCAACTACTTCTCAACAAAAAATATTCCCATTGGATATAATTATATTTGCAATTAGTAAGTTATACTAATATATAATAAGGGGGGAACTGCCTGCTCACTTATTTTCATACATACCTCCAGTGTGTGTGTGTGTGTGAGAGAGAGAGTGTGTGTGTAATTAACTGCCCAGGGCAGGTCTGCTAAGTAGCACATCTTTGAGGTCTGGCAATTTTGCTCTTGCTAGCTGAAGGCTCCTGATAAGCAATAATCAAGGAGTTCAATACCTGCAGAGTGACATTGTTCCTAGTCAGATCCCCAATAGAAGAACTTGGGAGCAAACAGACATCTGACTGGGAGCAAATAGTGACTGGAGGATGACATGGTAGCACCTTAATTTCCCCCCAACACTTTATCCAAATGAAAAGCTACCCACAGTGATTCTGAATGCTTTCTTCATGGTAGACAATCAAGCACCTATTCTTTGACAAAGCCCTCCAGTTCTGGTGAATGTGGTTGCTTTCACAGAATGATTAAACCAGCCCTCCTATTTAATTTCTCTGATGCCTACTCTCAATTCTTAGTAACCCATCATTACCAGATGACTGCTAATTATAGAGCTGACATAAATGCGAGCTTAACTGCCAGCACTTGTACTTTACTTTGTCAGCCTGATGGGAAGTCCTGTCTACTTTGCTATACAACTCGTGAAAACTAAAATGCACCAAATAAGCCAGCCAGTTATGCAATAAGTAATTGCTTCATATGATGCCAGTGTTCTTTCTACAGTTACGGGAATTATGTTTATGTCCATAGTTAAAATAAATATTGGGCTGTATCCAGGCATCCCACTCAGATTAAGAGGATGTAAAGGGTTATGCAAAACTTGATCTGCAATAATTTTGGTGTGATTACCTGAAATAAAACTAAAGCAGGACCTCAACTATTGCGACCAACAGAACAAATCTTTAATCCTATGTAAAAAAATGCTAAACAACAAACTCAACCTAAGCAAGCACTGGACTAGATTCCAAAGCCAGTGACCATGGAAGAGCAATTAGCCAATTTGTTAATGATCTCGCTCTCCTCAAGACATTTCAAGTCCAACAGCAATAACTATAGAAAGAAAGAAAAAAACAGACTTCACAACATGTCTCTGGAGATTCTCAGTCATCCTGGTCATGGTTGTCCCAAAGGTGTTTTTTTTTCCAGGAGGCAACTGGCCTTTCTGGTTTTTCTTTGAAGACGTTTCGCTTCTCATCCAAGCAGCTTCTTCAGCTTCGACTGGAGCCTTCCATTCCCCATCATCCAGTCAGAGCTGAAGAAGCTTCTTGGATGAGAAGCGAAACGTCTTCAAAGAAAAACCAGAAAGGCCAGTTGCCTCTTGAAGAAAAAAAAAAAAAAGCACCTTTGGGGCAGATTCCACAACCATTTCTACCTGGAGATGGAAAGATCAGCATCCTAGCCACAGCGCCTCAAACTTCTTCCACCTTCTTAGAGGCGTTACGTATCCTGCTACGCCAGAAGCGTAAGGTTGGAAAAAAAAACCGCTTTGCGACGGTGGGAAAGATAACGGGAGAGATAATTGAGGCGCATCTGCCTCCTTTAAAACGGTGATTTGTCAACCGCGGGTATCGTTCGCCATTTCACCAAAGCTTCAAAAGTGGGAAGCATTCTGTCCACCGAGTCCAAAAAGCCCCTGAAGAAAAGCAGCCACCCGTCTGTTTCTCCACCCCCCCCGCCCCGCCCCCCCCCCCTTCCCCCCCCCCCCCCGTTATACTCAGCCGGCCGCTACCCAAACGGAGCCATTACCTCGAAAAGTTCCTTCCGGGCCCCGCGAGCTTCTTCAGTCTCCTCCCTTGTTCCCGCGCGCGGTTCAGGCTTCACTGGCTCCTCCCCCCGGATGTTTGAGCCGTTCCGGGCCGTCGCTACTAACGCTTGCTTGGTCTCCGGGGTTACCAGGCTCGGAACGCAGGGGCGGCTGGCCTACCTGGTAAGTGACGTCGGGATGCATTTCCCACGCAGTGGTGGTGGTGGGGGGGGGGGGGAAGGCTTAGGTGATACGTCGGAATCTGTGGGCCTTTTGCCTCCCTCTCTCCCTCGATCTCCGCTGGGTTTTCATTAACCTCTTAGTGTTCCGCGCCCCTCCCTGAGATTCAGGTTCTTGACCTGCCGTAAAAGAAAGTGTGGTGGCATTTTGAAAACTGTCCCACGCATTAATCCTTCCGTCTTCCTTCCCTGCAGCTGACGAAGTAGATCCTAATCCATGATACGTTGGATGTTTAAAGATGTCTCGAGGATTGTAGGGTTTCCTGCCTGGGCAGGGGGTTGGACTAGAAGACCTCCAAGTTCCCTTCCAACTCTGTTATTCTATTCTATTCTATTGTCGTTGCATCCGGAGTAAAAGATATCCCTCGTGAGGGCGTATTTACATTGGGGCTCAGGCCATAGACTCGCTGTTTCGCTGCCTTCCTCCTTCATGCTTGTCAATGCACTGAATGCAACAGGGTTTATTTTTCAGGAGTACACAAACTCACGTCTTTGAATAAGTCTATGTTGTAACTTTCTAGATAAAAATGGGATTGGAGCCGCCCATTCAATATAAAGCGGGCAGCTATATAAATGTTTTAAATAAATAAATGGATTTATACAGTGTAATAAAATACACTTGGGTAGTTAGCATTGATTCACTATTGTATGGACTCTAGAAATAGAAGTACCGTGGTTTAATAAACTACAGATTACATACATATCTTTTACTGATGTATAACAAGGTAAATATGAGATGCTCTTGCTTACAACTATTTTTGCTTCTTTCAACACTCATTCTTCACACTATATACTGCCTGCTACTTTATTATCACCATATGCACATTTTTCTTTCCCTATCCATTTTTCTAACTTTTAAGATACTTACTTACACTATTTTTGTTAGTTATGTATAATTACTTACACTATTCTTTTGTTAGTTATGTACTTATTTTGTTATATGTATAATTTGCAATCATTCTATTTTCTTTGTCAGACAAAACTGTTTTACGTCCTTAATTCCTTAATTTTAAGATTCAGACTCTTCATTGCATCATACAAACTAACATTCACTGATTTTATTCAGTGTTCTCATTCATCAGTTATACTGAAAACTACATGTTGAGTGATACCCTCAACTAACATCTCTAATGTCAGCACAGCATTCCCTGCATATTTATAATTATGTACTGCAAAACCACCAAGGAAGCATCATAAATTCATGTCTTACCCCATACTTGATGTACAAATATCCATTAAACTTTGTTTATTCACTTGCATGCTTTTGTTTCCACCAGATGCATTTATTTATTTATTACTATCCCGCCTTTATTATTTTTACAAATAACTCAAAGCTGCGAACATATACAACACATTTTCCTCCTATTTTCCCCATAACAACCCCATGAGGTGGGATGGGCTGAGAGTGACTATCCCAAGCTTACCCAACTGACTTTCATGGCTAACGGGACTAGAATTCACCGTCTCCGGTTTGCCTTAACCACTATGAAGCTGATGTTATATGAAACTGGCTGTTATACATTTCAGTAATCAATAATTAATTCCACATTTGCACAAAATTTCATAATTGGACTTACTTTGTTTTATCTGAATCAACAAAGATAACTTTCTCATACTGACAAATATCTCAATGAGATATTGAAAAACATTGTAGAATATTTTTTAAAAAATATGTTACAAAAGAAAAACCTCATATATGGCTAAGAAACCAAGTTGACTTCTCTTTCCCTTATATACAATGAAAGAAAAGCCAGCAGACACCAGGAAGGACAATTATGTTTGACCTGGTGACAGAGTCACATGCTAGAACCAAAACGTAGGCAACCCATGCGCCCCCAAGCCCACATCAAAACCAGTCGCCCTACAAAAAGTTTCAAAGCCTCCTTTTTGTCTGTAACCCCTAAGAACAAATCCCTTCTTGTTGGGAAATAACCTGATCAACCTCCAGGAGAGTGCCTCGTGTCTTATTTGCCTGTGTTCTCCCATCTTGGAGAACGGGACCCAGAAAAATTCTTTTAACACTTAACTTCTAACAAAAACCTACCTGATAATGAAGGATTCAGCAAAAGGGGGAACACTAGGCAACTATAGACCAATTACCTGCTTACCATCAATTTTCAAATTGCATTGTGTAGTAGCCAATGCAGTCCAACAGCATCTAGTTGAAAACAAGCTCCTTCCAACTGAACAGAAATTTAGGCTGCACAAGACCAAACCTTAAGAACAAACGCATACAGAATGCAGTAGTTATGTGCATTCCTAGAATGGTGCATGTTACGCTTCTGCTCGACAAACTTCTCAAGACTCCAAGGTGCTGGTTTTGATCTCTTAAAGCCTACATACCGTGTTTCCCCGAAAATAAGCCCTCCCCCCAAAATAAGCCCTCCCCGAAAATATTTAAACCCATGGGTAGCCGGTCCCTGCCATTTCCTCTGGTTAGGGTTAGGGAGACAGAGCTGGAAATCAGGTAAGATGGCAAGAGGAGCCCTGTCTTGCTCCACACGCCCCACAATAATAAGACCTCCCTGAAAATAAGGCCAAGCGCTTATTTTGGGGTTAAAAAAAAATAAGACAGGGTATTACTTTTGGGGAAACACAGTAGGTTATTTGAAGGACATCTCTCCCCAGTTACATCAGTGTACTCTATTAGATCTGCCAGAGAATGCATGCTAGTATACCATAAGCTAGGTGCCTATATTTGGTGGGTCCCAGGAGATATACAGTACCTTTTTTACTGTGATGCTTGCCTTCTGGAACATTCTTCCCTGCCTGATTATATTATCTACAAACTTTTGATATTTCAGAAACCCCACAAGATCTTGTTATATTAGGCCTGGGGCTCCCAGAAAACTGGAGACATGCTTAGATGGCCCCATTATTGAGCTGGCTATTTTTATTCCCTCTTCACCTAGAATTTGTATCTCTATGTTACTATTAATGTGATTTATATAATTTTTATACCTATGATTTTTAATATGTGGTTTTACCTACTGCTTGTTCATCATACTGAATCACCTTGGGCGAGATGGCTAGCTATGTAAACTTCATTACTAAAAAAATGATAAAATGTACATTTTTATGTATATGTTCTTTATGGTTAAATATTCGGTTCCAAAGGAAAAGATTTATTACATATCTATATGGGAATTGCTAATAGCTAACATTCAGTGCTGTTTGTTATTTAGGTCCCCATATACTGTCTTTATATGACAGCTTAACATTTTAGGCTTATGTTTCATAAATGGCAACATCTATATAATTGATGCTAAAGTTGACAAGATCATTTTCCTTCCTCATAAGTACCTGTCTATTCCTAAGGCAGTTAACTTACAACTGAATAATATATGTGAATCATAGGTAGTAGTCATAAGAATGTTGTTTTCTACCAAGAATTGTACCTTCTCTGATATATTTGAAAAAACGGCTACATTTGGTGGAATTCCTGAGAATAACAGTTCTGTGTAATTATGGTTTATCATCAGAAAAACATATTTCTGCTCCAAAGCCCACCTCTGAATGGGCTTAATATTGTGAATGGGAATCTTCAGAGATACAGAACTCTGTTCTGTGAATTCACATGTGACTGCTAAAAATGCCTGTTTTTCCTAGCTATAAACAGAATAGATGCTGCCAACCCCTCATGCCCAAAAGAAACAACCATTGAGGGAAAGAAAAGAGAAATATTTTCATGTTTTTTATTTGCTAGCAATTTTACAATCAAGTTTTTATACCTATGTCACCAATCAAAAGGATTTGGACATTTTATTTTCTATATTTATTTAGAAATGGAGTGGAGAGGTGATTTTTCTCTTGAGTTTTTGAACTTGGATTGTTTGCTAAACTCATTTCCTGGAAATCTGGAGGTTCAACAGGTACTTGGTGACATTGATGAGAAAATAAAGAAAAATACTTCATGGTAAGCTGTTTTATTTTTTCAATATTGTATATAATTCAGTGACAAGAGTTTTCTGAATGTTTTTTAATTACTGTATTTATGCTGCTTATTCATTTATGAACTTTACAAACAGTTGTTTGAAACATGGAAGAACACAAATGAGGACCAGGTTTGTGGGGGCAATAAGCTGACTTTGTATAAAATAGAATACCACTTAGGGGTGGCCAAAAAGCCCTACTAACCAGGTATATAGAAAAGTATGAAGGCTATTGCTTAAAAGCATTGTAAGCCGCCCTGAGTCTCCGGAGAAGGGCGGCATATAAATCAAACTAATAAATAATAAATAAATAAAAATATCTCTTTTCAAATTGTTAGAACAACCACATTTTTGCAAGGCTTACATGGCTACTTCAGAAGCTTCTCCTGGCTATCTTTGCAGAACTGTGCAAGCATAATCTGTTTGATTCAAGTCAGAGTAGTTTTGGAAACATGACAAATTAGCATAGATGTCACAGCACAATAAGGTACCCTGTTTCCCCAAAAATAAGACATCCCCTGATAATAAATCCAATCAGGCTTTTGAGCAAATGCGCTAAAATAAGCCTCTCCCAAAAATAAGCCCTCCCTGAAAATATTTAAACTCAGAACTGGAAATCAGGTAAGATGGCAAGAGGAGCCCCATCTTGTTCCATGCGCCCCAAAATAATAAGACATCTCCAAAAATAAGGCCAAGCGCTTATTTCGGGGTTCAAAAAAATATAAGACGGTCTTATTTTCGGGAAAATACGGTAGCATTATACAAACATAATTAACTTTATTTATTTGAATAAATACTGCATTTTCTGACCCTCCCGAATGAAATCAGCCCTGGGTATAGTAGTAATATGGTGATGCTATTCTAATCCATTCAACCTTTCTATGCAAATACTTCCATATGATATTCCTACAGAAATATTACTTACATTGGTCTTCCCAAATTAATGGCCAAACTGAATTCCGGGAGTTGAAATCCAGACATCTTGAAGGTGCCCAAGTGGGAATATATAACTAGTTGTTTCGAAAATTATAAAGTGATGACATTAGTCTTCTTTTATGACAAATTAAGTAACAAAATTATAGGGTGACATAAAATGTTGATATTCTACAGAAAATAGGTAATATACTAAAAATAATGAAAATACTTGTTTTTCTTTTTTGGTGTAGTGTGGAACAATGCCTTAAGGAACTACAACTGGAATTAAATGAAACTTGTTCTGATGAGTTGTTGCAGGACACAACAAGTTTTCTTCATTGGCTAAATAACCATGATTTCAGTTCAACCAAATTCTCTTCAACCCATCAAGGAGAATTAATCAAGTTTCTCCAAACACTGGTGAAAATGCTACTTTTTATGTTTGTGACAGAAAAGTTTTATAGAACACTTGTCCTTTGGGAATTTAGTTGCTATTAGCTAGTGTAAAATGCAGTTAAATTGAAAAAATTGCAGAATTTTGTGCAGTGTTTTTGCACAAAACACTATTTTGTGAAACTGTGTCTAGAATTTTGGACAATAATGTTTAGTTTACAAGGTTTCCAGTCTTAACGACAAATTTTAAAGTCATGTAGATTTTTCATTTCGGTACTTATGTCTTTAGAGTAGATCAATACTGTTTGATATAATCAGTTGCATCCAGGCTGCACATATTTTAACCTGTTCTTAGATAAGATTAAATTTGTAATTAGTTAAAAACATAATGCTAATGATACTTAAACCTGTATGGATACATAGCCTGTTTCACTGGTTTCATATAGAGGTAAATAGGAATGAGGAGCAGAATTGAGCCTGGGGCACATCTTGATCCTGTAAATCAGGCGACTTATGGCTAGATCCCTCCCCCCCCCGACTAGAATTAACTTTGGAGGAAGGATGAAAACCTATGAAGCATAATGCTCCTCATTCCCAAACCTCTAAACCAGTTCAGAAGTATGCTGTAGTTGATGGCATTGAAAGCCATCATGAAATCATGAAGGGCCAGAACTCATCATGAAGGACCAAAGCCATCATGAAATCTATCCCATCAGAGCTCATCCACAGTGGCAGTTTACAGTAATCCAGTAAAACATATTGCTCATTAAAATGTCCACAGTAAACATTATTAAAGTAAACATTATTAAAGTAAAAATGTATGCAATGTAGAATAATAATGAAAAAATAACTACTGTATTTTTCGGAGTATAAGACGCACCTTTCCCCCCCCCCTAAAAGTGGGTGAAAATTTAGGTGCATCTTATACACCGAATGTAGCCCCGCCCACCCACTGCCCCCCACCCTTTGGCCTCTGCCTCACAGCAGTTACCTCCTTGCAAGCAAACAGCAAGAAAAAACAGCTCCTTTCAGCTTCAGAACAGCCTAATTAGCTCAAGTTGATTGGATCGGCCTCCCGACTCTCAGCTGATTTGCTCTCAGCTGTTTTGCACAGGGCTCTGGTAAATTGCTGGAGCAGATTTTCTTTTTCCTTGTGCTAATCAAGCTATGGTGAAAACAAAAATGAAAGTAAAGCAGGCTGTTTGCTGTTTGATGCAAGGAGGCAAAATTGCTCAGAGGCAGAGTGAGATTTCTTTTTTTTCTTTTCCTCACCAAAAAAGGTAGGAGCGTCTTATACTCTGGTGCGTCTTATACTCCGAAAAATACAGTAATCAAAATACAAGAAAAGTGCAGCATATCACTTAAATTGAAGTTAAAAAAACAGTGAAAACCAGTCACCCAATGCTCCATGGACAACTTTGATTTTAATCAGCTTTTAGAATATGATTTTATTTATTGTATTTTTATGTACCTGTATTACTTTATAAGTAACTCAAGGCAATAAAAATTCCTTGCTCCTATTTTTCCCACAACAATCCTGGGAGGTGAGTTGGTTTGAGAGTGAGTGACTGGCCCAAAGTTATCCAGCTGGCATTCATGCCTAAGGTGAGACTAGAACTCACAGTCTCCTGGTTTCTAGGCATGGGTCTTAGTTCCTAGGAGAGGACATTCCATAAAGCCAGAGCACTAGTTAAAAAACATTGCCTCCTGGCTGCCATTCCCCTTACCTCATGAAGGTGCAATGCAACTCAAAGAAAAGAATATACCACAAAGGCTGATTTAGAAAGATGAGACGAATTTGTTTTTCTTACAAATATGCACTGAAGAGAACCTGGAAATTTTTAATATGGAAGGTATAAAATATATATACTTATGCTTGTTTGTACTGGCAAAATGAAAATGAAATGTATATATTTGAAAAAAACCTAGACTTTAAGAGATAATGATGAAGCTTTACTTTGAAGATAAATATTACAGTATTTACTTTAAATAGATATTCATGTATTACATATATCATCTGTCATTTTCCTTTCATAGCAAAGGTTATTGAAGAATGAACAAAATCAAGAAGAAACAATTCTTCAATTTCTCCTTGAACTCTCCAAGCAGTGTGGTGTCTTATTTCCCTGTACCCCAAGTGGAGCATCTTTTGATTTCGTATCCAGTAGTTCCATTCATGGTATTGAAGACGATACAGCAGTGGATGTTCACTGCATTTGGGATGATATAAGATTACATCTTCGACGCTACTTAGTACATCAATTGCAAAGTAATCAAGAAACAAAAACTGGTACTTTACAATATCAACTGCAATTTAAAATTCAGTGTCTGCAGCATCTCTTATTTCTTTATCCTGAATCTGAAGTTCTAGTCAAGTATCAAAAAATGCAGAATAAATTGGTTAGTGATCTTTTGCAGAAATGTGCTCAGGGTAAGAGTGATGAAATGAATTTTGAAAAGATTGTTCATAATTACAAAAGTTCTATTCCTGCCTTCTGTGCAATGATAAAAGAAGATTTACATATACTAAGTGGAATTACTGATCCTTCTTCTGTACTGAAATTTATTAATGAAACTTACTTGGATACCTTCACTGAAGAAATCACCTTTGTTCTTCACATGCTTTGTGAGCTTCAACTTAAAGAAAAGGCACTACATGCTATAAAGACAAGCAAGAACTCAAAGAAAAACAGAGGCATGGTTCAAGTTGGGGGTTAGTGACATTTTCTTTATGGTCATTAATTGTTTTCTCTTTATTGTTTAATTTCTGATACAAATTTTAACTGTGATTCAGCAAAAGATTTAAGTGCAGGAATGTAATTAATGTCAGTTTATATATAGTATACTGCCATATATACCTAAAGAAATGCAGTCCTAAATTTAGGATTACAGTTCTTCCCAACCCTGGCAAAATTCAGCAAGATAATCTTGCTTGCCTCCATTAACAAAGAAGAAGCAACCTTCCAATTTTAAAGGTAAATTTAGTGGGGAGGGTGGGGAGGTAGCTTTTCTTTTAAGTACAGTGTATTTATTATCTGCAAAAATGTCAAGGATATAGATTGACAGAAATCCAGTTTCTGTATTCTCTAACTGCTTTTATACATATAAGAAGAATGGGCTTATTTCGTTTTTTACCCACTAATTATATCTAGATTGAAATAGCATATTTATAAAATTATATATAGTTATTTATATGGATTATATTAATCTTAAACTATAACATTCATCATATTGTTTGAGCATACATAATTTGAAAAGAGTCATATGCATTTGAAATAAAAATAGAAATCTATTTCTGAAACCTGGACACATTGTTCAATATTGTTAAAGTAATTAGCATTTCTTATTTAATTGCCAAAGTAATATAAACCTTTATCAAATTATCTTATTAATTCTATAATATGAGAATGTGTTTGGACAGAACATGAGCTGCATAAATGGCCTGTCTCAGATTCTTATTTTTACTGCTGTCCTGCTGTTTCAAATTCCAATCTCTGTCACCACAATTGTATAATGGAAATGGCATATGTAGAGATGCTGCTTGAGTATCTTCTTATCCCAGCACAATTGGGATCTGGCAGCTCACCAGATAACTGGTTAGTTTGTTGACAGTCCGAGTGGGGTAGATAATACAACATATTGTTTTCTTCATTTCAATCATGCATTCTCCCACATCGTGCTGACTGGCAAGGGAGACAGATTGGAACACAAGGAAGGGAGGTTCAAATTTTCCTCTTTCTGTATGCTGAGCTGTATGCACAGATAGAGAAAGGAAAAAGAACACATCAGCTATTTTTAGGTGGAAGGATATTACTTTAAATGAATATTCAGTTGATGCTGTTATCATATAAATGAAAAAGTTTTCCATGTGTGCTCTTGGGGAACATCATCTGTAATAATTCTAATGTGTGAAATAAACAAATCAGCAGATGATACTTCTAAAACTTTATAAGGAATAATGGTTCTGTTTTCTAAGAAAAATGAAAGTTAGAAATCAAATCAAAATAACCTTTTCAAATATATTTTATGTAAGTAAACATTATTATTGAGGTGCAATAATTTTTGACTTATTTGTGAATTTATATAACTGAAAAAATAAGAGAGAAATATAATCCTCTTTGTATTATAATTTTATGGGAGAAAATTTTATGATCACTTTAGGTAAAGGTAAAGGTTCCCCTCGCACATATGTGCTAGTCGTTCCCGACTCTAGGGGGCGGTGCTCATCTCCGTTTCAAAGCTGAAGAGCCAGCACTGTCCGAAGTCGTCTCTGTGGTCATGTGGCCAGCATGAAAAATGCCGAAGGCGCACGGAACACTGTTACCTTCCCACCAAAGGTGGTCCCTAGTTTACTACTTGCGTTTTTTACATGCTTTTGAACTGCTAGATTGGCAGAAGCTGGGACAAGTAACGGGAGCTCACCCTGTTACGTAGCACTAGGGATTCGAACTGCTGAACTGCCGACCTTTCAATCGACAAGCTCAGCGTTTTAGCCATTGAACCACCGCGTCCCTTATGAGCACTTTAATATGATTTATTTGGGGTAGGGTGAGATTTTAAGTGACTAGACGTTTGCATATATGTGTATCCTTGAGCTGTTTCTTTGAATCAATGGGGTGATATAAGGTACATTCTTATAAGGTACATTCTTATAAATGGTACCTACCTATGAGCATGGATTTATAATAATTAATGAACAATCTATAATCGCTTGATCTGAACATAATCTACCAGATTTTTCGGAGTATATGACGCACCTTTCCCCCCCCCAAAAAAGGGTGAAAATCTGGGTGGGTCTTATACTCGGAATGTTGCCTCGCCCAGCCTCGCAAACGGAGATTTCAGAGGCTGAAAGAAGCCTCTGAAAGAAGCTTCAGAAAAAAAGTCTCTGAAAGGCTTTTATCTAAAATAATATGGCAAGCAACAAAAGAATCAGTAAAGGTTCTAACCAAACTATGCTAACAAATCTGGAGAATGACACAATAACCAACAGATCGGAAGAGGTTAATCTATATACCAACACTAAAGAAAGGAGATTGAACAGAGTACAGATAGTTCTTCAGAATAAAAGCCTCTGAAAGAAGCTTCAGAAAAAAAGCTTCCAAACAGAGCTTCAGAAAAAAAGCCTTTTTTTCTGGAGCTCTGTTTTGGAGGCTTTCAGAGGCAGAAAAAAAAGTTTTTTCGGAAACAGAGTTTCAGAAGTTTCAGAGGCTGAAAAAAAAGCAAGGCACAGAGCTCACAATCAATGAACCTGTTGCTAAAATTCACCTCTGGGAACAGCTGATTGGGGGTATTCTGGGAGGCCGATCCACCCACCAATCAGCTTTTTTCTTATTTTTCTCCCCAAAAACTAAGGTGCATCTTGTACTCTGGTGCAACTTATACTCTGAAAAATACGGTATATTTAGGGACACAGCCAAAACGTACATCTTAATATAATAAACTACTGGCAGAGTACATTATGGTCTCATTCTGCAGAAACAATACTAGAACCATCAGAGGAATATCAATTATTTCCCCCTTCTCTATTTCAATAAAGAATCAATAAAAACCATTAAGCATATATGATAATGATCACAGATGAATTTAGCAGTTAGGAAGAATATAGCAGAAAATGAAAATAGGATATAAAAATCATAACTTAAAGTTATCCAAACTTAACAATAATTTGAATCACCTTAAGCACCTTTTAGCATATTTAGCATATTATGCTTAATAGCATTAGAATAATGAATGAATTGCATCTTCGGATTGGTTCAGAGTAAACTGATGAATAAAGAGGAAAAAAAAGAAAGCATAAAATGTAGGAATTGAAACAGAAGAGCCCTGTGATGATAGATAATCACCCGAAAGGTTGGAAATACTATGGTTGATTGCATCGTCTGTCAGTCATATATTTAGACTGGATTTGGCATTTTTATCCATCTATTAAATCTTTCCCAAAGACCTGAGATAAGCAGATGTTGTTTGATAGTGTTAACAGTGTCATCACAGGATGTAAACTGTTCCAAGTAAAGCAGTTGACTAATGATGATTTTGTTAATGCTGATGATGTTCAAATGGTGCTCGATATTTGGGGATTGCACCCAAGGGTTCTGTATCTAATCGTACACCTTTGCTTTCTTTTGCCATAGTCATACTACTTTTACTTGCAAGTCTTTGTATTTTGTGATTTTCTTCAGTGCTTTCTCTTCTATTTAGCTGTCTCCATATAATATTTAACAATATCCACCATAGAGGCCTCTTTATCTTTCTTATTGACAATTGTTAAATATGAGTAGTCATGTGTCAGGTCCTTCTCTGTTTGAAGTCTCAGAGCACTTTAGCTGTTTTATTTTCTATTACTTTGTCTATTTTGTAGTTCCATCAGTTCTTGCTTGCAGACAAATGGTATTTCTTGCAGATATTCCTATGCACCTTTATTAATACTTTGTCATACTATAGTTTGTAATCATTCTGTGTGATCTTCTTGCAGCAGCTAACCTGGTGGTCCACTGTGTCTTCAGCTTCTTTGCATAGATGGCACTTGCTGTCTTGCTTCTCAATTCAGTTTTGTATACTTGTTCTTAAAGCTTAGTCTTTCTTAAGCACTAGTCTTAGAACTAGTCCTTCTGTCGCCTTCTCTCTTTCTTTAAGTTTCTTGCTTTTAACCATTGTCAGATCTTGTTATTATCTGTTTTCCCTGCTATTTTTTAAAATGTGCTAGCCATGCAATGCTTTCTCTTCCCATATCACTTTTTTGTTCTTCTTTGGTGTTTCTCGTAGGCCAGTTTGGTCACTCAGTAAGCATTCCTGGTGTACTAGCTTCAGTATATATTCTTCACTATCCTTCAGATATTCTTCCATTCCCCTATTTTCTTCTTTAATTGTCTGATTTACTTGCAACATTCCATGCCCACTATTTTCCTTGCTAAATATCAACATCGCTGCAAGGATGAAGAGCATGATCTAATATCATTATTTTTCTGGTCTTCCTATCCAGGGCCTTCAGTTCTGCTTGAGTCCAATTCACTGTTCCAGCTGTGTATCTTATGACTGGAATTGCCCAGGTATTGATTGCTTGGTGGTATTTCCACCATTGAATTTAGATTTTAAGATTTTCTTCACTCTCTTCATGTATTAACTTCTAACCTTTTTCTTGACTCCAGTGTGCTTGTTGTGGTCAGCTTGAAGGATGCTCAAATATCTGTAGTGATCATCTTCATACAGAGTCTTGATGGTATTTCCCTAAGACATCTTGATTCTTTTAGTCATCACTGGTTTTCTTATTTGATCATGAACGTGACACATTTCTATTGCAATATCTTGACTGGATATACAGACAGTCTGGAGCAGCAATTCTATTTCAGATGGTGGTTTTCCATACAGCTTCAAATTATCCATGTAACGGAGGTGGAATAGCCTGGCAGATGTTTTTCAGTTTTGATAGCTATGACCTGAGTTATTCAGTTTATTAGTATTGTTGACAGAGGAGTCAGTGCCATCACAAACAGTAGAAGAGATAGTGAGCCTCCTTGAAAGATTCCTCCTTAATATTAACCTCTCCCAAACTATACATTGACCAACAACCGTGCCTTCCATATTGGTATCTTTTAATCCTTGTGCTAAGTGTTTCTCTGGAACAAGCTTCAATGCAGGCAATCTTATTCTGTTTTTGTGCTGTTTTAGATGCTTAATGATTCTTTGTTTCAATTCTTCTACTTCTTTAGTTAG